ACTGAGCTGAGAGGTTAAGGAACTTGCCTACAATCATAGAAGGAAGGACAGCAAAGCTCACAGTCAAATCCAAGTATTTAACTCACAAGTCTGACCCTCTGACTGTCATACTGGGTCTGTGCTGAAATTCTAGCATCGTCTTTAGCATCTTCAAAGCTTTCTATCTCTGACCAAAACCTGTTCCCTATGAGCACTATTTCATTAGGTATATTGTTCTTATGGTTACTGCACTGAGAAAAGGCTGTCCATATACACTGTGAGGGACATACAAATCAAAAGAATATAAATGTACAAATTAAACACAAGCAAATTATGTTGTTATAACTGGTTTTAGCTGACAAAGGCATTCTTGCTAATCCAATCTTAATCTTAGAAAAATTTAAATTGGAATAATCTTAATTTGTCTTCTTTGAAATGGAAGCCAATTATTATCAAGATAAATCTTAGTGCTCCTCAGGATAAAGTTCTTGGATAGTCCCACAAACCTCCAACAATTGCCAATTTCCCTTAGTCCTTGAAGCTAGTTACCAATAATAGCTCACTGCTGACTGCACTACTCTCTGCTCTCCTCATACTACTTCCTGTCTCCTTTGTCCTGCCCAGTCTGATGAAAGACACCTCACATACAGAATCTTTCATAGCTACCAAATGTAATAATTTATTAGTATAAGCAAACATCTACATTTGCTAAAAATAAAATGAAATCATTTTCCTTTCTCAGTAAGAGGAAAGGAAAAATGTTGACTTTGATGTACCTAAAAATAATTTTATTGACTAATTCCCATGAAAGGAGAAGGCTATTTTCCCCCATCCTATTAGTACAGAGCTATAAATCTTACTCTTTACATAGCTCTTCCAAAGGAAGAATTAATAAATTCTTAGTTAACAATGTTTTTCACTGTAAAAAGTTTAGCATACATCTGCCTTCAAATATAAAGCCAAAGCATGATCACAGCATACTAGGAATCACAAGGTGGTCTAGTATTACTTAACACCAGCCCATAAATATAAAAGACACAACTTTTGGTACATAGACTGTGGACAAAAACACTGAACTAAACCCCAATTCTAACAGCCGAAACTCCAATCACAGGACATAATGAGGTCTGGGTGAGCTACAGAGAACTCCAAGTCTGGGGTCATGCTTTCTGAGTATCATCTTTAGTTGTGGGTGCCCTTCAGTTTACCCCAATGGTCCCGAGAATAATTTTCCATTTATGCCATTATTTTACATGACCGAAGTCTGACTGAAGCCATAACATATTTGGATCTCAGTGTTTGCCTCTGAAAACCTATGCAGTACAGTAATCCCTAACAAGCCACAGTTACTGAGATTCATTATGGCAGGAGGTTTCATCACCAGGAAACCTCATGGAGACCTTGTGGCATCTGAACAAATTAAAAATAGAACTACTGTGTGACCCAGCAATCCTCTTCTGCATACAAACCCAGGAAACGAAATCAGCATCCTGCATGAACATCTGCATTCCCGTATTTACTGCAGCATTGTTCCCAACAGCTTGGAAAAGCCTAAGTGTCCGCTGCAGATGAATGAGTAACTGGCACACACACACAGACACAACGGACACTCTTCATTATTAACAGGTCTTGCCATTCGCGACAACACAAATGAACCTTAAGAACATGCAAAGTGAAATAAGCCAGATAAAATAAAATACTGCATGACCTCATTTAAAAGGGGGGAATACATGGAACTGGGGGAAAAGATGTAGATCAAAGGGTACAAAGCTGCAGTTATGTAATATACAGAAGCCTAGCGATGGTACAGCACAGGACTATAGTTAATTACATCATATACTGGGAATTCGCAAAAAAAGATTTTAAGTTCTTTTGTCATCAAAAATAGAGGGGTGATTTGCTTGACTGTATAATTTACTTTACCATGTATATGTACATTACAACAACAACACTGTGGGGGGCAAACCTGGCTCTCAAGCCTGCAGTTCGCAATCTCTGAAACCGTAAACCACACACAGATATATGCACAGCACAGCCGAGAATCTGGCTCAGTGGTGCCGCCATCTGCTCACAAGCGGAAGGTCCTCAGTTCGATCCCCAGTATCAAAAAATGAAAAGATAATACACACACACACACACACACACACACACACACACACACACACACACAGCACAAAAGTAAAACAAAATTCTTGTGAATAAAACAAGGTGCGACTAATTGCGGAGGGTGCTCCCAATAAGGAAGAAGGGAATGAAACAGCTGGTGGAACATAATGCATTTTATATATTCAGCCCGACACACTCAAAGCTGTGGAAAATCTAAAAACAAGAAGGCTCAAAAAGTGTTCACATTTTATGTAAGGAAGTAAAACAATGATTTACACTTACGATATGAACAGTGGGCACTCAAAGATTATGTTGGGGAAAAACATCCACTCATCAGGCAATGATCTAACATAGAACGTGGTCAAGTTCTCAAATTTAAGATACATCATAAAATCGTAAGAAACTGGACAGGGAGAGTTAATGGCAATTGAAGCGATCCATTAGCAGATGAGCCCTGAAGCCCAGCATGGCAGTACAGGCCTGTAACAACACACCTGGGAGGCTGAGGAAGGAGGATCCTGAGTTCAAGGCCAGCCTAGGATACATAGCAACAGCCTGTCTAAAAAAAGATGAACTCTGAGAGGGGTTCAGAAAGTTCAATGGTGTGATGGAGACATCTTTGTTTGAGAAACCAGATCAAAAAGAAAACAGAAATGGTGAAAAGTGATAAGAATGCTCTACAAAATATAAAGCAGCGATGAGAAATAGGTTGGTGAGAGCATGGGAAGTCAAGATTTTAAAAGTCCTTGAAAGCCAGTCAGAGATGTTTGGTTTTAAAGCAAGAACTGAAGAAAACTTAATCCAGTATAGGTGAGTGGAGTGAGCAAAGTGGAATTTTATGAAAATTAACTTGGTAATGTTCCTCCCTACATTCCATATCCCTGTGACTTAGACATCTGGTTTCAAAGCCATAATCTCACCTCCAATTCCCCTTCTGACCTCATCAGTTGCCAGTTCTTTCAATTACATCTCACACGTCTCTCATCACTTCTCACCCCAACTGCCAAGTCTTCAGTGCAAAGCTCCACCACCTTCTTTTCCTCTCTGATCTTACTTCTACTGGTGACATTAGCAACTACTGAAAGAGATGTTCCTACAACACAGCTTATGACCATGACAATGCAAAACACGCTCCCTAAGTTTTGTGAAGCCCTCTGAGCCCCCATACCTCTCCCAGTACTCCTGTGCTAGACACCAGGACGTACACTCATATTCTGTTCTTTTTTTTTCCTGTCTCCGTTGCCCAGAATGCCTTTCTTCTGACTTTATTTTTCACATTCCTACACATTTTTCAGTCAACACTTTCCATGCACAGTGGTTAACCCTTCAATGCCTAGTGAGCCATTTTTGGAATATGCGTAACAATGGAACATAATGAAATGTGCTCTCTTTAAATTCTTGTTCCTTCAATTTTTCTAGATAACATGTATGATTTTTCATGTAAAAAATTTAAAAATTTTAATCTTTGGCATAAATGAGCTAATATCTTTTTAAAAAGAAAGAAAAAAAGAAAACCTAAAAAACAAACCATGCTACTCCTTCGCTATCCTCACTGGCTCCTAATGGCCTACAAAATAGAAGTGCAAGCTTTTCGGTGTGTGTTTTTTGGGGTTTTTTGTTTTTTGAGACAGGGTCTCACTATGTAGTTCAGACTGACCTGGGACTCATTATGTAGCCCAGGATGGTCTTGAACTCACAGTGATCCTCCTGCCTCAGCCTCCCAAGTGCTGGGATTACAGGCATGTGCCACCACACCCGGCCTCAGTGTGTGTTTACACAAATATTAATAAAGAGAATATAAGACTCTCCTTGACTTAATCTCCCTTTATTCACACTCAACTCTTCCCACTTATCAATGGGAAGTTAATGCTCTAGGAATGATTCAACTGCCCTTGACATCACATTACTGACTTAAATTGTATACCGATTCTTTTGCCATTTCATTTTCTCTTTATTCATCATTTCATCTTTTAAGATTCACAGTCTCAAGATCTTCTTTTAACCCCATGTTAGGCTCAGTGTCACCCTCCTGTGCTCTGGGACCACTTATGACTAACCAAATCACATCATGTAATATGTTTGAGTATGTCCTCCCACTGTCACCTTTTCTCTGGTAAAATATAAGCTCCATTTGTTCTGACTCTTAAGGAACTGCACTCAACAAATGTTACTTCAACTAAGGCTGCCTCAAATAAAGGCAGGCAGTACTTTGTGTGCATGTACCAGTGAAATGCAGATATCATACTCCTGATACAGCTAAAAATCAAAATCCAGAATACTGAAGCCGAACAAGTCCAGCTTCGGTGAGCTTACATCTTTCATTACCAAGCAGTCAACTCCAGAGAAGGTGAAGGACTCTGACTCAGGATTCTAGAGGAGTTAGGTTTCTGTCTCTTTCTCAACTTGAAGTATTTTGCTTAGGATGTACCGGGTGCTGTTTAACCAGGTTTAGTGAGCATAAGATTAGCGAGCTACAGTCTAAGTGGTGAAGAGACAGATGTCGCTACTGTGTCTTCAAGAAGGAGTAGGGTACAACAGTACAACTAACAGAGGATATAAGATAAAAAATTAAGCAGGCAGAACCCCAAGGGTTATATAAAGTAGGATCCCAGAAGTAGCCCCATCCAAGAAGACTTAAAAAGAAGACAAAAAAAAAAAAAAAAAGAAGCATGTGCTCAAAGACTCAGAACAAGAGTGTGTCAGGAAGTGCGCTCGTGAGAGATGGCTCTCGTGGCAGCATGCACTGAAGTGGCAATGCAGGCCACGAGGAACCATGAACGCCAGGGGTGATGCCGCTGAGTGTGCTCCCACCCCTGTTCCGTGCTCTTCTCTCCCATCCTGGAGGTAAATAAAGATGCATATAAACAATCTTGATTTAATGAAAAAATAATAATAAATAGCTTTAAACAACGTACCTTTGATTTTTTGTTCAGTGGCCTAAAATAAAAACAAACAAACAAAAAACAATGTAAATATGAAACTGAAATAAATGGATTGTTATGATAAAATGCTCATATATTACTATTATATAAGACACACATTTTCGTTCAATAAGGTACTTGTCATTTAGACGAAGCGCACAGGAAAAGATATGCAAAGAATGCATGTTTTCCCCACATACATGCCCCACTGTTCCCGATGCTATGTTTATTAATTTTAGAAGATTGTATACATTTCCTTAGATACAGAGCATAGAAGACATCTGTATGACTATAATTTTTAAAAGAGGGGCTGCACTTTTTCCATCATTTAGTTTAAAAACCATTTTTACGTAACTGTCACTTTTATGGGTGATGAAATGAATGTGATAAACTTAGCATATTTTAATGCTTCAAAGTTGTAACCAATTATAAAAGATGGATTATATTTTCTTTTCTGTAAGAAAAGCTGCATATAGTCACTTTGGTCGAATAGCCAATAAACTTAACTCCTGGAGGTTAAACAGCTAGTGCAGTTAAATGCAGTGAACGTGTAAGTGTCTAAATTGTCATTTCTGACAATGCACTAACAGCTGCTGTGATCTCACAGGAGCCCCGCTGTCTCTGCTTTCCTACAGCCTCCTTCTAGGTACTGTTTCTCAGTCCCACAGCTGAAAGAGGAGTGGGCTGGAAATAAGCAGGGCTGCCTCTAGGTGACTGGTTTCCACCTCAAAGGGCCTCAGAAGGTACCCCAGACTGAGGCCCTTTCATCAACACCAACTACATGAGAGACATGAACATAAAAGATTGGAGAATGGGCAAGCTCACAAGGAGAGATTAGTAACTGGATGATCAAATTACTTTTGGCTGAAGACAAAGCTCGTCATGGGGCCTGACAATTCATTTTGCTTAGTCATATTAAATTATTAAGTTACTAAAATCCCATTTTAATTATATCACTGTAGCTATAGATGATAAAAGCTATAGAAATTACCCTCATATTGCAGTCACACCAAATATTAACCTTCCCTTCAGGACTGGTCCAAGCACTGAAAGTGCTTTACCAAGTGTTAGAGCACTAGAGGTACACAAAATAATGGAGGCCCATCTTTTACTTTATGAATCAAAACTAAAAAGAAATTGTCCTGATGGCACACGATGTCCTGATGGCAGGACAACGTCAGAAGACCATTCAACTAGCCTGATAATATTTATTTCTGTGGGAAATCATTTTAAAAATCTGATAACTGGGCTGGGGATTTAGCTCAGTGGTTCCGCCGCCTGACTCACAAGCGCAAGGTCCCAAGTTCGATCCATGGTACCAAAAAAAAAAAAAAAAAAAAAAAAGTTGAAAAAACCTGATAAAAAAAAAAAAAAAAAAAAAAAAAAAGTTGCAAAAATCTGATAACAGAAAAAAAACAAGTCTTTATTAGAGAGCTTAGTAGAATACTTTTAAGTATTAGTGTCATGTCAAACAATAAGAAACATTACTTTCTAAAGACAAAACATTAGTACAAAATTATTTTGCATGTTGAAAGCCCTTCTAAAAAAATGTCTCTGAATCTTCTTCAAACATTACTGAATTAGAAGACTCAGAAAGCATGCCCATGCTACTAAACCCAGTGTGGCTCCCCAAGGTCCACAACATGAAGGATATGTACAAGCAGCCCATGGGAAATGTCAGCCTTCCTTTACATTGTCATCCACAGAGCGGCACAGGGAACTGCCCGAGGCGTCTGCCCTTTAGGACACTGACCCCATACCGCAAAGGGACATGAAAGACAAACCAAAAACCCCTAACTTATTAGGAAGAAATGTAACTGACAGAGTTGTACTTCTTTAAAATTGCGTTTCCGTAGGTTGTTGGTCTGTGAAACTCAAATTATCAAACTGAGAATTTTCCAGGTGGGCTCAGTGACTTAACAGTAACTACACAAGCCATGAGTTGCTACTAGTGACTGCAGTGTGACCAGTGTAAACTGAGATCTGCACAATACGGATATTTCTAATATGTTATTATAAAAGAAGATAAAATATCTCATTGACAACACTTCATTAATATTCATCATCATCATCAACATTACTAAATTGGTAATAATCCGGCTCTACTGGGTCTCATAAAATATTTAAAATTATCTTCCATTGTTTCTTTTTATTTTTAAATGATCTTTTCATAAAAACCCTCTGGGTCTTAGTTTCCTAATCCTTTAACAGATAAACTAATTGTCCTGCTTATCATTCAGGGCTATTTTGAGAAGCAAAACATCAAAGTTCTCTTTTGGAAAAAACTACACACTATTTAAATGTGAGGTACCATTGTAGATTCTCCTACACAAGAAAATTAAAAGGTCCTGGAAAAATCTAGAAAACTAATTTCCATTTTTAGTTATCTTTTTCCCGTAAGAAATCTGAGCTGTGATTCCACAAGTTATTAGGACAATTGCCTTAATGCATGAATGTCAGCACCAGTAAGTGACATTGGGCCGGCAGCTCTGTGATAGGCTCTGTACTGCTTGTCCCAATTCCAAAATTCCTAAGCATATTTCAGTGGTTAAGAGCTCAAGGGCCAGAAGCCAGACTGCATGGATCTGAATCTGGCTCTACCACTTATACTGAATGGCCTTGATCATATTAGCTATTCTAATGCTCACTTTCCTTATCTATGAAAGGAGCAAAAAACACTGACCATAGACTGCAGGGATATGTATGAAACTTAACTTGATAAAGCCCACAAAGGGAATAATTAGGTGCTTTCTGCCATGCCCTGGCTCTAGCCTTTTTCTTGTCTGTGGAGATGAGCTGACTCTGCACCCATTCTCAGTCCCCAGCTCGTTTTCCTATGATTTAGCAAGGAGCACTGTGTCTAGAACTTAGGTCTGCTGGATACGTTTTTTTAAAAGTCAGGATAAAGCAGATGATGGTACAATTCAGGGCATATCCTAGACGTAGAGTATGTTACAGGTCACCTCCGTCACTGAGAGAATGTGCTCATCCGACTGCTGAATGCAATCCCCCAGACAGAGAAAGTCAAAGGTTTTCCACAACCCAGATCTCTTCTAAACTTGAATTTAGTATGATTTAATCAGTAAAGCCTGTAAAATTCCCTTCAGCTTTTAACACAAAACAAGAAAACCATGAATGCTGAGACATTCTTCGACACCAAAAGATCCTAATTTGTACTGTTGCTTCCTCCAGCCCTCAACTATTAGCAGCTTTCTAGGAACTACAATTATATGCTTAAAGTAAAGGTTACTCTAAATTATCCCACTATAATTAACCTATTTCTCAACCTCTTCTTTCCACATTATAGTTTCCTTAAGATCCCTTTGAGAAAGTTCTCCTAAAGACAAACCCCCGAGAGAAAGCCATGGTAATCTACTAGTACTACTGTTGCCCATCCTTTTCTTTTCAAGTAGGGAAATTACATTCTCTTGTTCTATCAGATTACTTTCTAAGCCTAAGAATCAAAAGATAGCAAAATAGACCTCATTCTTAGATGTGAAAGAAACGTATGCATAGAAATTAGGGAAAGGTTTTTTTTTTTGGTACTGGGGATTGAACTCAGGTCCTTGTGCTTGCAAGGCAGGCGGCAGAACCACTGAGCTAAATTCCTGGCAGGAAAAGGTTTTTCAAGCATAAAAAATTACAAAGTCATCCAGACATTAATCTCCCTATTAATTGGTGATATACTAGGGGCTAAAGTACCATTTTTTAAAATCACCTAATCTTGTACAAGGTATCTTTTAAAAACTACTTAAATTTATATTTAAATAATAGGCAAAATGAGAAACGCTACCAAGTGTTAAATGCTACGGTAAATTTTGGTGTGTAACTGATCATATACAAAGTTATGCCACCTGCCTAATTTTAAATAGAAAATAATCCATGGTATAAACTTAAATTTCTTTAAAAGACCACTGTGGCTATGCGGGACAGTTAAATCTACATATTTTTTGTATTCCTGGCCTAACAGCCTATTTTATGCCCTATTATAAAAATCACCACAGTATATTCTTTCTCAAAGTTCACCTTTAGGTGGTGAAACATGAAGCAAAGCATAAAATAATATTCTGCATCAAAAGGATAAAGTCATGGCAAGGGTTGTGAAGAAGCACCAGCTGGAGTAATTAGAAGATTCCAATTTTATCCCTGGTTCCATCATCACAATGAAACCAAGATGAGCCACTTAATTCATTCTGATGCTGAGGTTTCCTTAGATTGAAAATGAATACATCAGAACAGATAACAGATACTATCTGAAGTCTTCTTTGGACATGAAAGTATGTATAGGGTCACAGCAAACAGACAGATGGTTCTCATTGTAATGAGTTACGTAAACAGGCCTGCCCTCCTGGGTACATACATGCCTGTGACTTGCCTCGATAGACCTGCTGGCAAATACAACCTCTAGGAAGTATGTTGCAAAACTCCTGTAACTCACAATCTTTCATATGGATTATAAGTGTGCCAGTTTGGGAATTTTTTAAAGTTCTGTCTGATAACGGTCTGTGGAAATACCAACTGTATTCATCTCACCAACAGGTTGTACCAAATTTAGTCATAAACTGACTTCCTGAAATTTGGAGAATACTTTTTCACAGTGGCAGTGCGGAATATTGAACTTAATACTTATTAGTGGTATTAAACTCTCCTTTACAGTGTGTTCAGTAGATAGAAATCACTGTGTGTCCACAAGATGCACAGCAATACCCTATCAATGCTGAAAATCTGGCAAACAAGAAAGCTCCTATCTAAACTCCGGCCAACTGCAGCCAAGGGGTGAGGTAGGGATGAATTGGAAAACAGTGGAAAACTGTCAGATTTGATGTGAGCCCAAAAGGCACTATAATCACCATTCATCTGCTAGAGGCAATTTCATGCTGGGCACACTCAAGGAACCACTTTTACTGAGTTGGTGATTTAGAAACTTGATTATGAAAGAATGTAAAGATGAATTTGTAATAATTAGAGCCATTATTTATGTATGTTACAACTTTAAAAATTACAGTATACTCACAAAAATACAGTATTTATAAAGAAGTCATTCTAGTGACTTAGGCCTCTTTTTTGGCCATTCCACATATACTGTACTTCTCTGACTTGAGTTCCTTAGGTGGCAGGACAAACAGGAACCAATAATAATAAACAATAATAAAACCCATGCTAGTCAAATCACTCACTGTACATAAAGCATATCCAAGCTTCCTCGTCAGTGAACTCCTATGTATCTTAGAAGTTTCTGTCACGACCTCTACGCAAGAGTGCAATAAACCTTTCCTCAGCTTTAGACTTAGAGAACACATTTTCGTAAACCCTAAGACTGACCAGATGTGAAGATTCCTACACAAACAAGTCCTGCAGAGGCCCAAGGCATCAGCCAGGAATAACACTTTACACTAGAACCCTGCCAAAGCCCTAGCTACAACACGTACCCAGGCACCCCTTCCTGAGGACCCGAGAGCAGCCCGCAGGCATAAGCAGTGTAGCCTATCATCTCATCTTCTTCTCGGTGCTCCAAAACGCCCTGTACACCATCCCCCATGCTTGTTGATGACACCCTAAACTCAGCATACCATACCTATAACTGGATTATTTATCATTTTCCCCATTCCTGTATTCCTACTCTGATTAACTGCTCCTAAATGTACTTGATTGGTCAAGCATCAATCTAGGTTACTCTCCCTTTGTGTCCTCTAAGCACTCCATGTACTATTTAAAAGGTTCTTTTGCCAGTATTTCAGTCTGGGATACCTACTGCTTCCAATCCAATTCTACATTTTCCACCGCAGACAATCTAAAATACAAACTTTTATGTCACTCTACTAAAACATGTTCAGTGCTCTCCCGAAAGGCCAAAGCCTTAAGAAGTGTCTACAGCTACCACAACCTTTGTGTGTGTGTCTCATCTCCTGCCATTCCTGCTGGCAGCTGCCCCCAATCAGAACCCATATTTGACCACATGCAGGCCCCAAATGCTTGCTTTTGACCTGATTGCTTGTGGCCCTTTGGTATTCTTCTCCACAGTTACCTGAATAATTTCTATTCTCAGAAAATTTCCTGTCTCTGGACCCCATCTCGGACAGTTATGCACCTCTCTGTTCCCCATAAACAAATGCCTCACCTACCGACTCTTTACCCTGCATGTGTTTCTCCTTGTGGAATAGGTGTGGTGGTGCTCTCCATAACCAGTTCCTAGAACAGTGCTCAGCATGAAAGAGGCATATTAAAAGTTAAGCAATTTTCATTAAAAATAGAAAAATGGAATGGTAATTTCAGTTTAGAACATTTTAAAGTCTTTGAAACCTTGATACAGTAGCAGCTGACTGCTAAGTTTAGTTAACTATCACAGCCTTTAGTTTTAAAATCTGTAAAGAATTTTAAGAAGCCAGTCTTATTGTTGCCTTACCATGCACTGCTTTGGCTACAATTTTGGGTATTGGCTGGGGTTCTCTTATAGTAAACGATATCTCAGATTTATTCTTAAGGACTAATCTTAATGTAAACTGCCAATTTAAAACAATGAGCCCAGGTATCAAATAAAAAGGGAAGAGGAGACTGACACTTTATTCCCTACTGTGTTACTATTTCCTTTAATACTACATTACAGTTACTTTTCTTCCTATTGCATTAACACACTATGTTATTCTAGATACAAAATGTAAGGAAACTAAGGCCCAGAGAGGCTAAGTAAAATTTAAGGCCACACTATCCTATGTGCTCCGCAGGAGAATGAGACTTCAAACACTCTGGGTGGCTACAAATTCCACAGTCTTCCCACTTATGTAATGACAAAATATCTAGGAACAACTAATTGAAGGTTAAAGACCTATGTAACGTACTTACCTTTGAACAACCATCAGAAGATTAAATGTGTTAAATTGTACACACTCAGCAAGCTACTTCATATGCATATGCAAATACATTAAATATTAAAATGAATCTCCACTGAAGTTAAAACATGGAATCAAATACTTTAAAAATCAGTTTCTTTTTTTAGTCTGTTTAAATCACTTAACATAAAGTTTATTGTATACTACCTTCTTTTGAGCAGCTTCCTTCTTTTTCTTGTCGTCTTTTTTCTTTTTCTTTTCTTCCATCAACTGTTCTTCTTCTTGCACTAAATCCCTGAACCATACAGTTGCAATTAACTTTCCCAAAATGTATTAAGAAATAAAAATACTGTTGTATACAGATGCATTTTCACTTATTAGGAGACAAACTTTTATCTACCTCTGAAATAAAACACAATCTGCAAGCTAAATGTAACTACACAGCCCAATATAGTACAATTTGCTTCTCTTTAATTAATAGAACTTTCCACAAGTACAAAAGCTTTTATCTTACTGTCGTGTCAAAGAAGACGACCTAAAATTAGCAAAATGTTATACTGGGAAATAAGCAATTCCCCCCAATTCTAGACTGTAAACAGTATCAGGTAAATTGGCATTACTTTGCAACTTTCATACTGGAGGACACTGCTATTCCCTCCAATTATCAATCAGTAGCTAATGGCAGTGCCTGGGACCTTCCCACAATCCTTTCCTGCATATGTATCAAGGGGTACCATTTGTTGTCTTTCCACGTTCCAAACAGCTTCATAAATAATTTTAGAATACAAGTTATTCATAAATAGGTGACATGTATTTTAGTATTACAAAAATTTCATATTCTATAAACATTTCAAACTATCTTATCAATTCTTAGGAAACAAATAATATATTCTCTATATAAATTTAAATTTCTGAAATCTCAAATACTCAAAAGTTGTTAACAAAACATCTGGCTTAGAATTTCAAAATGTGTCTCCTCCTTCTGTCACCTCACTGAAATTTAGGGGGGAAAGTCATAATTATATTCACAGCTGATGAATAAACAAGAGTGAAGAAAGCCACATCTAAGAATAAACACAAGAGAAGTCTATAAGTGGATGTACCTGTCATCCTATCCGGTGGAACTTCAGAGAATTCAGGACCAGAAAAGGAAGAACAGAAATAGGCACGGGGCATAAAGGCTGCCTAGGACACCAAGGGCCATACCTACTCCATGCTGCTCACATTTCCTGTTCCTCAGCTTCCATGTCACAGGCAGCAGCAGGCCACCACCCAGAGCTGGGAATGGGACCCAGGGCCTTGCACATACCAGGCAAGCACCTTTTCACTGAGCTACACCAGGCAGTAGTTGCTTTTAAATTCAGCCTAAAACTCAAGAAATATTCTAAAGAAATTAAACCTTGCACAAGAAGCTGGTAAGCTCCTTCAGTGGGTTTGGCTGCCCCAGAACCAAGTCTTTCTTACTGAATGACAGTGCTCCTCCATCACGCTGGAGATTGTGATCAACACCCTTCATATACACACTGCCTGCCATCAGCTCTCTTGTTCAAGGCAGTGTACCAGCTGTGCTGAGGTTGAGCCCACAATGCCCAAGAGGTAATGAAAAGCATGATGAAACTCTGGGTCAGATTCCTGCTCAGCCCTGCATAGAAAGTGTCTGTAATACAAGGGTTGAAACCCCCACACTTACCAGTCCTATTTCATCCTCTTTCGAGACTGAGGACACCAAGATAAGAATAGCTAAAGTAATTTTCAGGACAGCCAATTGTCAGCTTTTACAATAGCCAGTCCCAGACACCCTACCTAGAGTGATGCCTAGAAATCTGGAGTCACTGCCCTAAACCTCCACCCATCCTGGATTTCAGAAAAAACAGAGCCCTGCAAACTGTGATGAGGCCACCCACACCCCAACTCCCCCACAAGCCGGGCCACTTCCTCAGGAGAGGAGCAGAAGCCATAATGGCTCTGCCCAGACCTCACAGACCGGCCCTGACACACAGATCAATCACACTGCTGCCTGACCAGGGCTACCTGCCCTGGAAGTTGTGCAAACTCCCCACGCAAACCCCACTCCTGGACTTTGTTTCCCTTTCCTAGAAAACACCAAGGTTTCTGTCAGTCCTTGAAAGAAAGATCTTGAACTTCTCTATACTTCCCAGCATGGCTGCGTGGATTAAAACTCCCTTCTTTTCCCTCACCCCATTCATTCCTTGGTGTTACAGGATAAGTGACACCTGAGCCTGCTGGGGCCCTAGGGCCAGGGCTTTTGCTCCAGTAACAGTGGGAGTTTACCAGGTAAAGAAATCTAGTGGAAGGTGGAAGAAACTCACTCCAGCTACTTTACTAATCACCCTGAATCTAGAACCTGCATGCAACACTTCATTCAGAAGACCAACAAGCAAAAAAGTTATTTCACCAGTGACTTGAAATAACCATCACAAACAAAGAAATATTTAACTGTGCCCTAAGGAAGCTTTTCAGAGGGGATACTATAAATACCAGGCAGACTGGGAGAGAGGTACAGGTACTAGACATTTGGTAAACTGAAAATAATAATCAAAGCCAGACTCACAGGGCAGTGAGGATGAAGCAGAGGGTAAAACAAGAAAGACAGGCACATACACAAGAAACCAGAAAGGGTGCTACATAGGTGCACAACAGTGAACACAGACAAGATGAAGCTGGCTCTTCTGACGCAAGGAACTGTGGAGATAGAAGCAGATAGTGAAGAACAAATGAATGAGCGGCACAGTAACTGATGAGTTTGGCAAATCTAAGTATAGGCTCTGAGAGGGGAGGAAGAGCAGGAGTGGATCTGTCACGGGTGAATGGAGAAGCTGCACAAATTCATGCCCACTCACTGTGACTCCCACTCTTGTGTTCTGGACAGGGAGACAGTAAATACGTTCACTCATACCACAGTCTCGGGAAAGTCGAGGATTAAAAGACCCCACGGCAGACGAGAGTGGGAGAGCACACATAGTACACAAAGGGAGCTGAATTACACCACTGCTGTGTCCCCTGTCCTACAACGGGGACAAATCGAGATCAACAGCAAAAGCTTGTTGTGGGTCTAATTACCTGACATTCAGCCTCCACCTCTTCAGACTAAAACTGGGGACGGTGACCACATACACTGACTTCATGGTATTTTTACAAGGATTACAGGAGGGCTTACTGCCCAGAGTTCCAAAGTGCGCAGTCATGAAACCATCTCACCAGTCCTCCGTTGCAGCCAAGACTGCCTACCCCACTAGTCAAGGGGTAACCCACAGCATCTGTGCCTCATGGTCCCCTGGGACTGACAGATGCGCTCTTTTCTGATATTCTATAACTTTACCCACAAGATGCTCTCTATTATCTGGATTTTTTTCACCTTTATCAAACTTTAAAGGCTTCTGCTGAGGTTAGTGCGTGTTTTACTAGCTGGAACTATTCTCATTGGTACTTGAAAGACGTGTACATCTCAAGATAGTATTATAACAGCTAATATTCTAAGCATAGAAAAAAGTTCTGTTCACCTCTACTAACCACACTTTCTTTGATCACCTATTTTTAAAAAAACTAAACAGGGGCGTGGGGTAATATACAGAGTCTGCCCCAAAAATGTATAAACACTTCAGGAAAAGAAAAATAGTATGATGTTTTCTCAACAGATGGTGTTACTCTTGTATGGGGGGCCCTACAGCACGTAGAACATAGCAGAAAACCCACCACACTGCAGCCCTTAGAGAACAAACTGAAAATGCCTGTGTGGCAGTCTCAGTGACCAAGGTCAACCAAGCAGCAGTTCACTGCACCTTAAATATCTGGAGGCTCATGGCCACCACTCTGAATACCTCTTGTAGCTGTAGAAGCCAAAGGAACAGATACAAATGTATGTATGTATGCATATTCATTCCACTTGGGCCCAAACGCATCTGCTTCCAGAATTTAAACACTAGTAAAGACTCATTTAAGACATCTAACTATATCACTTACCACATCTATCAAAGTAAGAACTGGTGGATATGACAAGTAAACGTGGCCTATCATGCCCACAAAAGACACCCCAGTCAATAATCATACATCCTTGGAGGTTAGTGGTAAGATACTTCATATCTGTAAGTCCTCAGAACATGCTTTTATTGCTTTATAAAAACTGGAACCTGCTTTTATCAGGACTTGATTTTGTTTATTTATACCCTGAATCACATGTATATACTTACACATGTGTAAGGTCTTTGAGATTATAAAGAATCCATCCCCGAGGGAATTTTCAAAGAAGATGGCGATATCCTCTAATTTGACTAGAGTGTAGTTACATGAGTATATACATTTGTCAAGTCAATCATCTACATGCTCAAAATCTGTAAATTTTGCTGTATGCAAACTGTATTTCAAAGTTAATTTTAATACACAGAATAAGAGAATGAAATACCTGGATTAGAGAAAATAAGCAGATCAAGATTAGGATGGTATACTCAATTATTCAAGCTATGTTTCAAATTTTGCCCTCATCTTCCAATAACCAATACAAATCATTTACTTGTTTGGTCTAGGGGTGAGTTCCCTGAACAATAAGGAATGACAGATTTATCTATGTCAGCTGCAGCCTGTTCAACAGTTCTGATAATTTTTAGAAAATTCTGCCTTCATAAGCCAAAACCTACCTCCTTATAATTCCCACTTTCTGGTCCTATGAACCTGGGAATGATAAACCTCTGGAGGAGGTTTATCGTTGCAGTGACTACGCTGGGCACTTTAGTATATTTTTTATTTAATGACACTTTTTAAATGATAAGTAAAAACACTTCCCTTTTATAGGTGAAGAAAACCAAAGCACAAAAAGGTTAAGTGTCTTGTTTAAAGTCATATGACTAGCACAAGGTGGAGTCAAGACTCAAATCCAGAACTTCCAAAGAACGACCTTTCCTTCCCTGTACCATGGTAACTCAAAGAGCTCTCTGCAGGAGCCACATAGAATAAATCTTTGTCCTTTTGATAGGCTAAGACAAATCTTATTTACAGCCTATCTTTTCCCCAGACTGTATGCCTCCACAATCCTTTTTGTATTTCTCTACACAAGAGAAATACAAGAGCTCTTTTAACAGAATGTACTGCAAGAAACACAAAGTATTCAAGTTCCAAGAACTATGGGCATATGTGATTGGGAACAAGAACAGAGAAAGTATCAGGGAAAACAAAGACTGAATCACTGGTTTGAGGGGGCACAGGCCTTGGTGATCCCTCCCTCCCTCCCTCCCTTTCCTTTCCCCTTCCTCCCTCCCTCTCTCCCTTCCGTGGTACTAGAGA